AGGCAATCCACTCACCTCAGCCTCCCAAGGCGTGGGATTACAGGATGAGCCACTGAGCCCGGCTCAGAATAGATTTTAATGGTCTCTCTTAAAATGTCAGATTTAGACCGGGCATGGTGACTCACACCTATAATCCCAGCACTTTGGGAGGCAGAGGCCAGAGGATTGCCTAAGCCCACAGGTTCAAGACCAGCCTGAGCAACATGGCAAGACCTCATCTCTACAATCAATCAAAAAGTTAGCCAGGCGAGGTAGCTCATACCTGTGGTTCCAGCTAGTTGGAAGGCTGAGGCGGAAGGATCTCCTGAGCCCAGCAGGTCGAGGCTGCAATGGCTGGGAGTATGCCACTGCCCTCCAGCCTGGGTGACAGAGTGAGACTCCTACTCAAAAAAAAAAGAACATTATTTTTCCTGCTCTCAAAAACTTCACAAATACTGTAGTTTTAAATGACTTGAGTTCAATGTTTACCTTGATGGAGGGCAGAATTCTGAGATGGCCCCAAGATTCCTGTGCTCTGGCATGCACACACATTTTCCCAGCTAGTCCATCAATTCCCATCCAGGTGCTGCTGTAAAGGGACTTAGTAGATGTAACTGAGGGCCCACATCAGCTGACCTTGGCATGAGATTATCCTCAGTGGTGACTATAACTCTCATCAGGAGAGGCCTTAACGGGACTGGCTTCTTCTGAAGGCAGAGCCCAGCAGTGTGAGATGGCATGTGGAGAGCTGCAGGTGCCTCTGGGCACTCAGAGCACCCTGCCCAACAGCCCATGAGTGGGCCGGGACTTCCATCCTACAACCATGAGGAACCGAATTCTGCCAACAGCTATGTGGATTTGAAAAAAGACCCCAAGCTCTAGAAAGCATCACAGCCCAGCCAACACCTGGGTCTCAGCCCTGTGAGACCCTGAGCAGAGACTCTAAGCTGACTATGCCCAGACTTCCAACCTGCATGAACTTTGAGACCATAAGTGAGCATTTTGGACTGCTGAGTCTGTGGTGATTCGTTATGCGGCAATGGAAATCTAATACACACAGAGCGAGCGTGTTTGCTCTGGCCTAAAACGCAAAGAAAGTTAAGTATGCATGTAATTTCACACTTTGGGCTTCGTTCTTCCTCCTTTTGAACCAGACACAAAAGCATAGAATGTCTTTTCCTACCGAGTGTGGTGACTTACACCAGTAATCCTAGCACTTTGGGAGGCAGAGGCGAGAGGATTGCCTGAGCTCAGGGCTCTGGGACCAATCTGAGCAACATGGCAAGACTTCGTCTCTACAACAAATCAAAAAATCAGCAGGACATGGTGGCACATACCTGGTTCCAGCTACTCGAAAGGCTGAAGAAAAGGATCGCCTGAGCCTAGCAGGTCAAGGCTTGGTAGCTGTGAGCATGCCATTGTACTCCAGGCTGGGTGGCAGAGTGAGACTCCAATTCAAAAAAACAAAGAAATAAAAATAAAGAGTGTGTTTTCCTGTATTTGTTAAATAATAAAAGATAAATTGAAATTTTAATACCTTGTTTATGTTTATCCAAAACTTAGAAGTTTAGGGCCATTGCGAAGTACTCCTATTTTTTCCATTTGTTCATGTCCTTCCTATTGTAATCATTGGGTTTTGGAATTCACAGTTTATCAATACAAGATGTGAAATGAGATTCGTTTCCCCAATTCAAACATATGCAGGAACAAAATAGCAAAATTAAAAATTTACGTAAAATAGTCATCCAATGAAATACCTATATACCATGACTGGTAATAATAATCCCACAAGATGGATACAAACTTTTCTTTTTTTGAGTTGGATTCTCACTCCATTGCCCAGGATGGAGTGCAGTGGCACACTCACAGCCATCCCAGCATTGACCTGCTGGGCTCTGGCGATCCTTCCGCTTCAGCCTTCCAAGTAGCCAGAACTATAGGTGCATGCTACCATGCCCAGATAATTTTTTGGATTTATTGTAGAGACGAGGTCTTGCCAAGTTGCCTGGGCTGGTCTCGAACTGCGGGCTCGGGAAATCCACTCGCCTCAGCCTCCCAGAGTGCTAGGATTACAGGCTGAGCCACTGAGCCCAGTCACAAACTTTATTATTATTATTATTATTATTATTATTATTTTAGAGACAAGGTCTTGCTATGTTGCCCAGGCTGGTCTCAAACTTGGCCCCAAGCAATCCTCCCACCTCAGCTACCCAAAGTGCTGGGATTACAGGCATGAGACACCCCACCCAGCTAAAAATTTTATTTTATCAAATAACATCAGTACAAAAAAAATGAAGTAATAAGTAGTAATGTTCCTATTTCTTAATTATAAATGGCTGTTCACATAACCAAATCTTCTAATCTGATTCAAGGCAAATAATTTTCTTTTCCTTTTCTGTATTAATCACTGAAGCTTAGTTTCTAATTAATTTTGGAGTATCTGAGCCTTTGAGCTCCTTAAGTAAAGGTATTGTTGAGATTCTAAGGTTTTTGTTTGTTTTTTGACTCAGTTAATTGGATGCATTTTAACACCAGTCTGTGAACGGCCAAGTTTCCTTCACTCAGATACCAGCACAGAGGAGACTTCTGCCAAGTCACACAGAAAGGGGGAGGAAAAACAAAACAAAACAAAACAATTCCCAGCGCCCCTTAGTGGTAGAAGGACAAAATGATCAGTACAGTAAAATTGCTGAGATGTACAATTGGTAAGTGCAAAATAATTTTCTCTTTAAAAAATTAGAAAGAGTTAAGTAGAACATTTTAGAATAATCATTACAAAGTGGATTATGGGGATTCACAGGGCGTTTAGGAAGCCAAAAGGGAATCATTGTACCTTCTGGGGAAAGTGAAAATCAAGGATTAACAGCCTTTAACATGTAGGAAATGTGATTATTCCTCCCACGAGGAGCTGGAGCCCCTCCCAGTCATGGTCCTCCACTGACTCTTCCACTGCAGTGGCATTCAGGGGAAGGCAGGAGGGTATCTGGGCACCAGGGCAGTGGCAGGAGCCTTTCTATGCTGGCTCCCCAGCACCAGCCCTCAGCAGCATCTGCCCTGCCCACTGACTTTACAATCGGAATCACCAGGCTCAGGAGGGTGAGGTG